AATCGGAGGGGGGGAAGTGCTGTATTTATAGGACTGGACGCGAAGCGTCCAACCCCAGCCGTCCGGATCCAAAGCGTCCAAAGTTGGACGCCTTACGTAGCTCGTCCATTCGCTGCGCGCCACGTGCCTTTCGTGGTGCCCAATCTTTGCCAAGCGTCCAAAGGGAAGCGTCCAACCTGCAAAGCGTCCAAGGTTGGACGCTTCGGGCCTTTTCCCGTGGGCTTTTTTCGCGGTTTGATCCAAATAAGGCCCAACTTCAATTCTCATTTTGCTTCGCAGTTTGTTTGAACTTCCTCCGATATTCCCATGATAAAATTCTCAGTTAAAAACTTCTTTTTCTTTCAAATATAAACAGAAAAATCAACAATCAGGACTGGATAAACTTTAAACCAATTATTATTCCTTAAAGAACAAATCAAAGATATTGTTCAGTTTAACATAAAATTATGTACTGCTTACCACTATTTTCGTGCAATAACGCTTAAAATATGTAGAATAAAATAAGAACAAAATGAACTTATCACTCGGTATCAGCATCAGTGCCGAGCTACGATCGAAAATCATTCAAGTGCTCAGGGATAACTTTGTGGTGTTCGCATGGAGCGTGGAGGACATGCCCGGAGTCAGCAAGTCTCTGATCACTCACCGCCTCGCGGTGGGAGCGGATGCGGAACCCATAAAGCAGAGAAGGCGACACTTGAGCAAAGACCGGAGGGATTTTGTGAAGAAGGAAGTGGACATGCTCCAAGCTGCGGGGCATGTCAAAGAGATCAAATACCCCACCTGGCTGGCCAACGTCGTGTTGGCGCCGAAGGGGCAGACGTTCAGGATGTGTGTGGATTACACTGATCTGAATCGAGCTTGTACTATGGACCCCTTCCCTTTGCCTAACATCGATCAGATGATCAACGAGACGGCCGGGTGCGAGGTAATGTCTTTCATGGATGCATTCAGAGGATATCATCAAGTGTTCATGCACGAAGAGGATGCCGAGAAGACAGCGTTCCTAGGTTATCTCGTCAGCCGACGAGGTATAGAGCCCAACCCGGAGAAGGTCCAGGCAATCTTAGATATGGAGGCTCCCCATTCCATAAAGGAAGTGCAGCGTCTGACGGGAAAGATGGCCGCACTCGGCCGATTTTTGTCAAAATCCACCGAGAAGAGCATCCCCTTCTTCGGTACACTGAAGAAGGTCCCGTAGTTCCAATGGACACCCGAATGCCAAGCGGCGTTCGAAGAGTTGAAGAAGTATTTACTAACCCCGCAGGTGTTGGTGAAGCCGATCATGAAATGGAACAAGGGCGAATCCTCAAAAAGATTTCCACCAAAGAAAGGTAAATCAAATCAAATAACTTGGTATGAATGTGGAAATGTAGGCCACATCAAACCAGAGTGCCCAAAGCTCAAAAAGAAGGAAGAGCTTAAAAAGGGAAGAAGAAGGCTTTGAAAGTCACTTGGGATGATTTAAACTCGGATCAAAGTGATAGTGATCAAAGCCAAGAAGATAACGCGAATGCTTGCTTCATGGCCTCCAATGATGAAGAAGAGGTGAAAAATACTACTTGGGTTGTGGATAGTGGATGTTCAAGGCACATGACCGGAACAAGAGGATGGTTCATAAATCTCAAGGAGAAAAGTCATGGACAAGGTTTGGGAACTAGTCGAAAGACCGGAAACCCGACCCGTTGTGGGCACTAAATGGGTCTTTAGAAACAAGCTTGATGAAAATGGTGTTATTATCACTAATAAAAGTCGACTTGTTGCTAAAGGCTATAGCCAAGTTGAAGGACTTGACTATGATGAAACTTTTGCTCCGGTTGCTAGGCTTGAATCTATTCGTATGTTATTAGCTTTTGCAAGTGCTCTTAATTTCAAACTTTTTCAAATGGATGTTAAAAGTTCTTTTCTCGATGGATGGTTAAAAGAAGAAGTTTATGTTGAACAACCCCCGGTTTTGAAAATCCCGATTTTCCCAATCATGTTTTTAAACTTCATAAGGCCCTTTATGGACTCAAACAAGCTCCTAGAGCTTGGTATGAGCAGCTTACCGAACATCTCATCTCACATGGATTTGCAAAAGGAAAGATCGATTCCACACTTTTTGTCAAAACAAAAGGAAAAGATCTCATAATTGTGCAAATTTATGTTGATGATATTATTTTTGGGTCAACTAATGAAGCCTTATGTAATGAATTTTCAGGAATTATGACAAGCGAATTTGAAATGAGTATGATGGGTGAGTTGAACTTCTTCCTTAGACTTCAAATTAAGCAACTTGGAGATGGTATTTTCATTAGCCAAACCAAGTATGCCAAAGAGATAGTCAAGAAGTTCAACCTTGAAGACTCAAAAACATATCCGACTCCAATGAGCACATCCTTAAAGCTTGACAACGACAAAATCCATAAATGAAAAGGTATATCGAGGTATGATTGGTAGTTTGCTTTATTTAACTGCATCTAGGCCCGATATAATATTTTCTGTTTGCCTTTGTGCACGTTTCCAATCATCACCTAAAGAATCACATCTTAATGCCGTCAAGCGAATAATTTGATATGTCAAGGGAACGACCAATATGGGGTTATGGTATCCTAAGAATACGAATTTAAGTTTGATAGGTTTTAGTGATGCTGACTTTGGCGGGTGTCGTATTGATCGGAAAAGCACAAGTGGCACATGTCAATTCATAGGTCATGCACTAGTGTCTTGGTCATCTAAGAAACAACACTCCGTCGCCCTATCCACCGCCGAAGCGGAATATGTGGCTATGGGTAGTTGTGTTGCTCAAATTTTATGGATGATGCAAACACTTAGTGACTTCAATTTAAAATTTTCAAAAGTGCCTATTTTTTGTGATAACTCAAGTGCAATAAATATTTCCAAAAATCCTGTTTTGCATTCTAGAACTAAACATATAGAAATAAGGCATCATTTCATACGTGATCATGTTTCAAAAGGAGATATTCAAATTGAATATGTAAATACGCTTGAACAACGTGCCGACATTTTTACAAAACCATTGGATGAAAAACAATTTTTACATATTTGTCGGGAAATGGGAATGCTTGAATTAAAGTGAAATTTAAAGTTCTTATTATCCCATTATATCATAAAAATAAATTGATCAAGTCCAAATGCTCAAAACACGCGTCTAGAGGTCGAAACAAAATTTTTTGCTAAGGCACGGTACCCCTGACGGTACCTAGGTCCCGCCATAACGCAGATACCGCCAGAGGAAAATTGGATTTTGGACGATACACGGTAGCGGGACACGGTACCCTATACCGTTATACGGTACCAAGGTACCGTTTGACACGGTACCTAGGTACCGACCGTCTCTTCGAAGTCAAATTTTTTTAAAACCCTAGACCAGCGTCTATTCGGCATCTGCAGCGTCTCTCTCCCGGCGACCTCTCTCTCGGATTCAACACCCAAAACCTTTCCGAATGGTTTCATCTAGAGCGTCAAGGAGTCTCCACCTATTGTAAAAAGGGGTGGATTCCCGAATCCCGTGACTTCGACTCCGATTCTTGCCTCCGAGTGCTAAATGACATTGCCCTTGACCATGTCTTTGAGGACCCGTACCACCTTCTTCATCGGCCCAATGTCCAAGACCTAACCGCAAATCGGTTCATTCTCCTTAAAATCCTCAAAGAAAATGTCATCCCCATTCTTAATAAAGATAAACAAGTTGGGGTCTATGAATGCACTCTCCTATACCTCCTCCTCACTCACAAGAAAATCAATCTTCCCTCAATCATCCTTCGCCACATGCACGAGTGCTCAAATCACCAAAACAAACCCTATGGCATGCTTCTTACCCACATCTTTGCCAAGAGGGAAATTCTTGAGGTGCGCCCTTCTCGCGTCCGCTATCTTGATGCGGAGTGTCTTGGCTATTGTGGCCTCGTGAAGATTGGAGATGATTACTACATGAAGAAGGAGTTCTAGAATCTTGATGAAGCTACACGAGCGGAGTATGGCCCTCGACGATCCTTGTCCTCCGTGCCATCCACTTCAAGAGCACCACGGGCCGAAGACGAAGACAATGCCAACACGGAGATACCCGTTCGTGCTCCTCGGATCAAACGCTCAAAGTCGGCGTCTCATGCTTCCTCGGCCTCTCTCTTGCACCGTCACTCTCAAATGGCGTCCACTTCCAAAAACTCATTCAAAAAGTTCAAGAAATTCATCCTCAAGACCGTCGTGGCTCCGATGAAGAGAACTCAAGCAAGCCTCGATGACCTCTCGGATCGGATGAAGAAGATGGAGGACCGTGAGAATCGCCAAAAGCAAAATGAGGATCGTGCTTCTAGACGTCGTAGCTAAATGTTGAGCATTTGACAAAATGATCGAACATTATGTATTTTGTCTAAGTTTTTAAACTCTTTGTTATGTTTCAAACTCTTTTTATGCACTTGTATGACTCAAACTCCTTTGTCATGATTATGCTTATGATTTGCTTGCTTATGATGATGCTTGATGCTTATAATTGTTGCCGAGATGAATGCCTATGTGTTGAAACCCATGTTTTTTGGTACCCCGCCTTTTTTGAATGTTGCCAAAAGGGGGAGAAATATTGGCTTTCATATGCAAACATTTAGGGGGAGTTTTTATCAAAATATCACGTGCATCAACTTAGGGGGAGTTTTAAAAATCAGTATATGCTTTTCACGATATGTTTGTGCGTTTGATTATTATACTCGAAAGCCTTATTTGTCAACATCAAAAAGGGGGAGATTGTTGGCCTTGAATGCTGTACCCCGTAACCATTTTGATGTGCCAAATAAGTCTTCCAAATGTTACTAACATCATTTGCAGGAAGAACACAAACGCCAAACCTCTATTAGCTTGTTTAGCATCACCGAGATATACTCCTACGAGTTTAGAATTTGTTGTGTAAAGGTAATGATATATTTTAATGAGTTACTTATGCCCTTTCACTCAAAATTTATTTTTAAAATGTCAAATATATTCTTAGTTGGGGTTATTTTGAAAACGGAACACGAAAAACGAGTTTTGAAAAATTTACACAGGCCTAACGGTACCTGGCTACCGTATACACGGCACCAGGGTAACACCGGTAGCCAAGTGAACATACCGGGTGTACTTTTCACTTGGGAGGTACACGGTACCCCCCCTACCGTGAGACGATACCTAGGTACCGTACGGTAGGCTGAAACGGTTGGCCACCCCCGTCCCAAGCCAGTACCGCCAGAGACCAACCCAGTTTTTGGCCTATACGGTACCCCTACACGGTAGGCTGTACCGCGTCACGGTACCTAGGTACCGGACGGTACGGACCCCCCTACCGTGAAGGGTACCGGATCCGTTACAGCACTGTAGCAAATTGCCAATTTAAATTCAAATCACCCCTAATTACCTCCTAACGGCATTTAAGGTTAAAAACTCATATTTTAACATTCCAAACTCCTATATAAACCCCCTCTAAGTCTCATTTTAATCACAAAAACTTCCCAATTAAATCTAAAGCCTATTTCTACATTCTTGAGTGTTCTTAAAGCCTATCTAAAGCCTATAGGCTTTTGTTGTTGTTGATTTAATCTTTTGTTCTTCTCCTACCCAATTCATATTTGCTATTATTTTGGTATGTAGAGAAGCAACACCAATCTTTTTATTGATTTGTAAAAGGTGTGGATAGCCTCTAAATCCTCATTGTAAGGTTGAAGATAGCCTTAAAATCTTCGGTTGTAAACAGTTGAGATAGCCGTAGTAAAATCTCATTTGCTTATTGGCATGGGTTGTTTGCCAAACCTCGTTTGAGTCTTCTTAGTGAAGCCAAACAAGTTAGTGGAGGTTAAATCCTTGAGGAGGAGCCTCGAGGTACTGGAGTAGGGAGTTCCCAAACCAGTATAAAATCGCTTGTGTCGTATTTTCATCTTTTAAATCTTTCTTGCTCTTTTTCCGCTACTACTTTGCGCATAAGTTTTTGTTTTTACGAAAAACATGCAAACACCCTAATTCACCCCCCTCTTAGGTTGTAAACCGACTCTCAAGTTCTGCAAGGATACTTTTGGCCGATCATGGTGAAGGACTGTGCCAGGCGCGCTAAGCATTGCAAAGTGTGCCAGATTTTCCAGAACATCCCTAGAAGACCAGGAACGAGTTACCATCCCATCAGCTCGTCAATTCCCTTTGCTCATTGGGGGATAGACTTGATCGGTCTGATGCCGAGGGCACCTGGCAATTTCCGTTGGATCATTGTGGCCATCGATTACTTCACAAAGTGGATCGAGGCCGAGCCCCTAGTGGGAGGAACCTCGGAACAATGCTCGAAATTTGTGAGCAACAACATACTCTGCCGGTATGGTGTCCCAAAGCAGATCACTACAAATAACAGAACCCAATTCGAGGCTGGAGATTTCAATGAACTTTTGGAAGATTGGAAGATAAGACACACCTACAACTCTGTGGCTTACCCGGAAGGGAACGGCCAAGTGGAGAACGCCAATCGGACGATCATGGATGGGATCAAGAAGAGGCTTGAGTCCTATAAAGGAGCATGGGTGGACCAACTCCCCAACGTGTTATGGGCGTACCGCATCACTCCGAGGAGGGCGACGGGAGAAACACCGTTCCCCATGTGCTATGGCTTGGAGGCAAGAGCGCCCTCGGAAGTGTTCATCCCGACATGGAGGGAAGAAAATTATGAAGCTCAAGAAAATGAGGAAACCATGACGGCCGACCTCCATTTCATTGAAGAACGCCGGGAGCAAGCCTTCCTCAGAGCAGAGAATTACCGAAGGCAAGTCAAAGAGTATTACGACCGCAAGGTCAGGACAAGGGAATTCCGAGTAGGGGACTTGGTGTTTAGAAAGAGGGAAGCTAGTCAGCCCACAGAAGGGGGAAAGTTCGCCAAGAGCTATGAAGGACCATACAAGGTCACAGCTGTGCTCAGGCCGGGCACCTACAAGCTCTCCACGCTTGAAGGTCGCGAACTCGGCTGGAACACGCACAATCTCATTTCCTTTTACATGTAATGCACTGAGAACCATAACCAGTCGGCCTCGGTAGCAAAAAAAACTTTTGCTTAATGAAGTTCTTGCTTCCACGCGAATTCCGTTTTGCTTTACGCAATTTATAATGCTGCTTAGCGACATCGGGCTCCCACGCCACGATTTTGGCCTCACACGGTTTTTCGCTTTACGCGAACAAAGTCTCTTTGTGCTCCCACACACACCACGAGAAATAAAATTTAACCGTCTTGCCACTCGGCAATGCCTATTGTCAAAGTGTCCCTTCAGGGGGGAGCCCATCCGCACGGTTTTACCCAGGGAATCGGCGCTCTGAACGAAACGAAGAACAAGGTCCGAATGGGCACAACTTGTTATTAGCACGAAGGGCAGCGCAAGGTCCTGCTTAGGATGGAAAACTTGCAATCCTGCTTAGGATGTCTTCCACGACCCTTAGTCCTGCTGAGGACACACCTTTCGCCGCCCTGCTGAGGGTGTGAGCGCAATAGAAACCCTTTGGGGTGCAAAAAAAAAGAGAAAGAGAGAAGGAAAAGAAAAGAAAACAGAGCATACAAGCAATTTCATTACATAAAACACGCCTAAGGCGGCAATACATCATCATTTAAGCATAAGAATGTGAAGTACTGTTTCTCGAATGGTCAAAGTACACAGCCATTTCTTCAGAAAAGGAAGAATCTACGGAGGATGCGTCATGGTCGGTCACAAAGTGCGTTTTGAAGTTTGTGCTGATAGTCTTCTTGCGATGAGCACGACGAAAGCCTTCGAGATAGGCGCGCACATTGGTGCCCACCTTGCGCACCAAACAGCCAGATCTCTTTGAAACCTCCGCCGCGGCAGGTTCTTGACGAAGAGGACCTTGAACATATTCCTCACTCGAGGAAGGGAGATCGGGATCAACGCATTTCCCCACCGCAGTCGGAGCAGTGGCGAAGCTGGGAAAAGCGGAATCCACCATGAGAAACGAACATGGTGGAGTAGCCCGAACGAAGGATGTTCCTTCTTCAAGAGAAGGAGTACCGGGACTCAAAGCCATATTGCAAAAGAGCAAGTAGAGAAAGAAGCGATGCATCATATTTATAATCTAAACAAGGCATTTATTATAAAGGCATTCATTGCACACAAAGTCAAACTCCATTACAAAGGTATTCTCGAAAGCTACAACATTTATTAAAAGCTCTACATGCTACAATTGCGACACCAGCAACATTTATTACACGGCAGAACTGAAAAAGGAAAAGACCTAAAGTGCTCTACCCCCCGATGGACCTCCTCTTTCCCTGGTCTTAAAATCTATGGGGAGGTAGATGTGCCCCGTCCTAAGGCCCAGGCACCGAAGGACGGGGATGGCCCCCCAATTCTGCAAACCTCCATGGGAAGATATACAGGGAATGGCCATGGAAGGGATATCTAGGAAGAGCCGAGGGACTCTTCTGGGTGATCGTCACCCGCGGGGATGGCATCAGCAGCCGGCTGAGCAGCCTCAATCGGAGGCGCAGGCCGTTGAGGGACCCCGTGAAGGTAATTCACGAGTCTTTGCAGACGTTCAATGCGCCTTTCCAGCCTCTTTGCACGGTACCACCATGAGCATGTACACGATTCGGCGTCCTCCAGAGGAGGACGACGAGCGATTTTTGGGTGAGAAGACGAGGGAACAGTTTCCCTGGAATTATTGGAAGCCATAGGAATGTCAACACAATTGGCGTAAGGAATGGGTGGTCTCACAACACAAGTGGAGGTTTAATTTATAGGCCCAAGAACGAAGAGATAAGACAGATGAACAGTCGCAGTGGTTGGAAGTGGAACCGTTCGCAGTGACACGTGGGTAAGACAGTGTGGCGGTCCAGTGGTTAGGTCTGCTTACATGGGGAAGCCAAAGAGTCAGTTTCTCAAAACGCGTAATTCAAATATATTCAAATAAATAATGTCAGAAGAAAATCTATTCACTATTCACGCATGCAACGGAACAGTAGACAAATCTTGTTCATTACAATGGAAGACAAATACTTCGAAAATTACAAGGAAAGCATTAAGGAAGGGCAAAACAACCTCGGCCAATTCAACATCCATCTCTGCTATGCGGCCCTCGGACTGACGCAGCCGCCCCTCGTGCTCGGCCATGGAAGCCGTCAGTTGGGATGACAGGATCTCGTCCTCGTATTTCAGCACTGCGGACAGAGATGCAACCTCGGCCTCGGCCTGCACATTCCCGTCAGATATGTCAAGGGAGGCAGGCACTTCCCGTCCTGAGGAACAGCCGGACATTTGGCCGACGGACTCTGAGTCAGAACCAAGTCCTGCTCGGACGCAGTCTCCTCCTCCTCGGTTTGGATGAGTTTTCTCTTCCTTTGGTTCTGAGTCTGAACCACTTCCCGGTCAGGGATGGTCGCGGCGGACCCGGACGTGTCTCCCGAGGGCGGCTCGCGATGAACCTCCTCTCCTCGACCCTGGATTTGGGCTAACAGTTTGGCCCTCCGAACAACCTCCAATGGATGCGTGTTTCCTGGCAGGACAAAGCAAAGGTTAGAAAACTTGTCATTAAAAGAGGAAAAATCCTAAAGGGAAGGACAGACCTCCGGAAGGCTCCACATCAACGACGTCCTCGGAGTAGGATGGCTGTCCTGACTCTTCATCGGTCTCGACCTCCTCGTCCTCTTCGTCTTCCTTTTCCGCCGACTCCGGATCTTCCAGCCTCGAAGCACTTTCTTCAAGCCCATGTTTAGGACGACTGCCCAGCACGGCCTCGGTCAACTCGAACTGACGCTCGAGGGAGATAAGAATCCCCACCTTCGCAAGGTTCTGTTCCGTACACACCGCATATACGTGAGGCGGCTTGGGCCGGCAGTCTTCTAGGAGTTTCTGCACAAGCGCGAGAAGCTCCGGAGTGGGGTCAGGATGAGGATGTCGAATGAAAGTGTGACAGTCGGGAAACCTGGCTTGGAAAGGGTGCTGGTCTCTGGGAAAGCCAGAGATGAAAACGAACTTGGCCTTCCAGAGTTTCAGGGACGTAGGGATGACAGCCATACCACACTCGGCTTGAGAAGAGACAACAGCATACGAGTTTCCCTCAAGCGTCCCGACCTTGGAAACCTTGAAAATGTACCGAAACAAATCCAAGGACCAGGGGACTCCCCTCACGTGACACTTAATTAGGAAGATTGAGAAACAATAATAGGAGTGGGGACTAAGCTGGCCAGGCAGAAGACGGTGGAAGTTCAGAAATTGGACTATCAGGTCATGAGGAGGGAACTGAAGCCCGTAACGCATGGACGCCACGTGCACCCCGACCTCGGCGTCGGGACTAGTCATGGAGAAAACGTGATTGGTCGTGTGTCGTCGGCGCACGGAATAACCCTCCCCCACGAAGCGAAGAGCCTCGTCAAAATCAACATCTAACAGAAGACAACCTGTACTCGTGATCGATTGGACCCGTTTCCAACACGGTAACAGGTAAGGATTTCAGGGTCTAGCCCTCAACGGTTTTTGATTTTTTCAATTTTTTCCCCCTTGGAGGCGGCGCCCGGGACGACGACGCTACGGTGACCGACGTGCGGAGAGGCACCGCACTCAAGACCCTAGAATGATCGATTCCTCCCATTAGACCGTCGGGGCGGAGGGAGGGATCTTGTCGGTACATTTCCTCAAAACAAACTGCCGCTGGGTCAACAACGAGGATGGAAGGAGTAGAATCGGAAGACGCCATGAGAACGGGGAAGAATGAACTAACCTTCTGGTCGGACTGCGACGGTGACGGCGAGTAAGCAGAGACGGTGAATGAGATCGACGACGAAAGTGCGGCGCAAAAATGACAAATGTGAAGAGGATTGGGAAAATTCTCGCCTTTATATGACTAAGGGATCCAACCCGATTCAATGAAAAGTCACAATTACGGAGGGACGTGGCGATCCCTCACGCGTACGATTGCGAATCATCACGAACGGCTGACAAAGGAAAAGTACAGAGACGTTGCGTCTCCCAAACAGCGCAATCATGCCTCTTCAAAATCGAAGATGACACGTGTAAATCTTGCCAGTTGGATCACTCCCCAACCCTCATCAACACTCAAGTTGGGCAGTGGGGGACTCCTATACACGGCCAAGATTTTTAAAATTCAAAATTCAAATTCCCAATTTTTTAGATTACTTCCCTCGGCTTCGCTACGCTCGGCCGAAGAAGTAGGGGATTCATGATGGATACCCTGGAATGGGGGTATCCAGCCCACCAGGAAGGCGGCCCAGCCCAACTTCGCTAAGGCCCACTTGGCGGAACCAAAGCAAAGGACCAGGGAAGACCACCTCGGCAGCGGTACGCGCTCGGCCCCGGCAGGGTAGGTCATCCTCGGACCACCCCTGGCCGACCTTCTGCCAATAGACTTCCGAAGACAGGTCGTACGCTCGGCCTCGACCCTGGACAAGGAAGCTGACTGAAGTCAAGATCAAGGGGTCTACGATTAGACCCCTGCCATGCCTCTAGCAGAGTTGCTATAGCCACCCTACTTGCAACCTATATTGTATAGCAATCCTAGGGTTAATGATACCCAATCTCAGTGGGCCAAGACCGTTGGACTATGGACCAACGGTTGGAACCCTAGTTGTAAGTTGCATATAAACCCCTTCCCTTCTAAAGGAAGGGGGACTCACGTTCTGAATCATATTCTAACTAGCACAATATTACTCTTAGTTTACTTGACCCCATATTTGTGCACTCTCGACTTAGTTCGATACTCTTCCGCCTAGTTTCCTAGGCCCCGGGTTCCTTAACCCAACAGAAGCATTTAGGTAACTTATCAATATGAATCTCCTTCATATTAAGGGTCGGTTCCGTAGGACTTATTTTTTCTACTTATTACTTATTCTTATTAAAATTAGATCAGACCTCATCAGATCAGACCAGATCAATCAGATCAGATTTAATCAGATCAGATCAGACCAGATTCAATCAGATCACAGATCAGATCAGACCAGATCCATTTAGATCAGATTAGACTAGATCAAATTCAACAAAATTAAATCAGGAAAAATATAAAAAATATTTATAATTTTCAAGGATTAAATAATGAATACTATTTGTTGATTAAATCACATTACTTTATTTAAAGCTATACACGCCTAAATCTTACTACATCCGTCCCGCTATATTTGTCCACTTTTGACTTTTGGAACTGTTCATCTAAGCACTTTAACTCATTAAATTCTCTCAATGTGTAAGCCTAAATATAGTCATGTGTGCTCTTGTTTGATTTGTCTCAACATATAGATTATTAATATATAATTATTATAATTTTTTAATAATATACAAATTACAAGATAAAATAGATTAAAAAAGTGTATTGGATGGTGTGTAAAAATGAAAGTGGACAAATACTCTAGGACAGAGGGAGTAATTGATATTATAATTATTATTATAATTATAATTATTATTATTATTATTATTATTATTATTATTATTATTATTATTGTTGTTGTTGTTGTTGTTGTTGTTGTTATTATTATTATTATATTTCAACTACAAACCATTATTTTTAATAATTGCTTAGCTTGTAGGAATGATGCATGGAAGCAATTTTAAGCTTAAAAAGTTGTATATTTCATACTTTAAAAAAGAGTTATTTTAAAATACTTTTTATAAAATAATTATACAAAACTTAGTTTTCAAAACCATAAATATGTTATACTTAAAAAGACTTACTTTTAAACTTTAAGATAGTATAATATATACAAGGGTGAGTTATGATTAAATTGATATAGGTAAAAGGAATATTAGTGTTTATGATTTTATATGCATATAGAATGTATATTTTTGTAGAATAGCATCTATGTTTTCTAATATTTGGTTATTTTATTTCCGATTATTTAGTTTTCACAAAAATTCAAAAAGTAGTGATATTGAAAAAATGTTTAACATTTCAAAAAAAATTAAATATATCAATGATTAGCTGATTTTCTTATTTTACTTTTTTTATGTATATATGAATTGTAGTACTCTAAAAGTATTAAATTTTGTAATAATTTTAATTTTAATTTAAATCAAATTTAAATTCATTAACACAAATCTAATTAGAAAAAATCAGATTCAATCAGATTAAATTAGATCATATACATATATATATATATATATATAATAAAAGGGGGTTTTATTAATTGATTATCGTAAAAAAGGTAAAGATACATCTGCCTTGATGGCTCCCTAAACATGTTGTGGAATAGTGTTAAGGGAAATACACGGACTAAAAAAATTGTGTCTGCCGGCCCATTTAGCCAGGTAGTGGGCTCCCATGTTTCCCTCGCGGTAAACGTGGTGTAGTTTGTGTCCTTCTTGGGTAAAGGCTGGATGGATGTTAAGCCATAAGTCATCTTCAATTCCCGGGTTTGTGCTCCTACAGATTGATTTTGATAGAGTTTCAGAGTCCGTGTTGGCCCAAATGTGATTACCAAAATGCCTCGCCCACTTAAGCCCAAATGCCAACGCCTTTGGTTCTCCTTGTAGAACGTTGGTATCATTGATCTTCCAAGTTCCTGCAGCGATGAATTTCCCATTCCAAGCGCGTAGAATTGCGCTCCCAACAGCGTAAGAGGAATTGATTGCTACGTCTGTAGAAAGGTGTAGCGCATTGTCTTCAGTGCTCCTCCAACGGTGAATTTTGGGCCTGGGGTACCCTTGATTCAGAGAGAGCAGTTCTGTTGGTAGGCGCCAAGCTCCAAAGGTTTTAATTTTGGAGGGAGCCCTACCTAGGATCCAGTCTTGAAGTTGCCCAATGCACTGTTGAAGTAGTCTCCATGGCTCTTTGCTGCTGCCATTATGTATTCGTTGGTTCCTTTCCTTCCAAATTTGGTGTACTATGATTCCAGGTATAATTCCTTTTATCCATCCTTCAAGTGTTTTGGTATGGCATTCTTGCCACCATTTGTGTAGGTAGGATCTTACCCCATGTGTTGCCTGCCATGGAATCTTGAAAATCCATTCGAAGTAGGACCATATAGACTTAGCGTAGGAGCACTGGAATAATGTGTGAAAAGCTGAGTCATTGTCCTTTCTGCATAGAGGGCACTGGGATGGCATGTTGATCCCAAATTTCCTCAGTTGTATTGGAAAAGGTAGCATGTTGAAGTATAGCCGCCACTGGAAGAAGGAAATTTTGGGAATTTGCTTCATTTCCCAGATGATGTCCATATGTTGAACTGTCTCTACTTCTACATGTGCTTGGATAGTCTGGTAGATTTCCTTTAGGGAAAGTTGTTGATTCCTGAAAAAATCCTCTACATAGTTTCCTTCATTTCCTGCAAAATAAATGTTAGTAGTTGTTTCATGTATAGCACAAATTCTTTTCCATATAGTGGAATCAGTGATTTTGGGAGTGAAGTTATTGTTTCTAGGATGTCTCTCTCTCATAAACTGGCTCCAAATAGAACCATTAGCATGATAATTTCACCAAAGTTTGAGGCTGAAAGCTTCCTGGAGTGTGTCCAAAGATCTTACTCCAAGCCCTCCTTTGTCTTCATCCAAGCAAATCCTATCCCAAGAACCCCAGTGATATCTTTCCTTTCCTTCTTTGCTACCCCATAGGAAAGAGCACATCTTGTTGTGAAGGAGATTAAGAATAGACTTGGGAAGTTTGTTGACTGCCAGGGAGTGGATGGGGATAGAGTTTAGTGTGTGTTTGATGAGGATAAGTCTCCCACTGTGGCTGAGAAGCTTTGCCTGCCAACCCTTCAGCTTGTTGTTAAATTGCTCAATGATGTCATGGCAGTATGGGGCTCTGTTTATTCCTCTGAAAATCTGGACACCCAGGTATTTAAAAGGCATAGAGCCATGTTTCATACCTAGGGTTTTGCTCATGTAGTGGATTTTGTGAGGAGGAGTTTTAGGGGGTGGGAAAAAATTGCATTTTTCCATATTCACATTCTGACCTGAGCAGCTTTCATACCTTCCCAAAAACCTATGGAATTTTTTTAGATTAGATCCTGAGCCATTGGTGAAAAGGATTAGGTCATCAGCATATGCCAAATGAGAAATGGGAAGATAATGCCTTCCCATGTTGTAACCTTCAAGCTGTTTATTGGTGATGAGCTTGTTGATAGATCCGCTAAATCCTTCTGAAGCAATGATAAAAAGGAGGGGGGACAGAGGATCCCCTTGTTTCAGGCCTCTAGAGGTCTTGAAGGGTTTGATATTTTTCCCATTGATGTTAACAGTGAGGGTGGTAGAGAAGAGAATGTTATGTATTAGGTGAATGATCTGATTTCCAAAACCAAATCTTCTAAGAACTTCCAACAGGTATTCCCAAGAGACTCTGTCAAATGCTTTGGACATGTCCAATTTGATAACCAGATTTCCCCCTCTACACTTATTAGAAAGGCCATGAAACATTTCTTGGGTGATTAGGATTTGATCCTGAATGAGTCTGTCCTTCAAGAAGCCACCTTGTTCAGGACTGATGATTTTGGGAAGAAGGGATGACAGTATGGTAGCCATGATCCTGGAAAAGATTTTGGCAATGAAGTTTGAAAGACAGATGGGTCTAAATTCAGAGAATTTTGTAGGGTTATCAACTTTAGGTATTAGAATGATGGTAGAGGTGGACAGGTTTTTAGGAGGGGGAATTCCCAGGAAGAATTCTTTGCATGCTTTCCAAATGTCTTCTTTGATGATATCCCAACAAACCTTGAAGAAGTGACCAGTGTATCCATTAGGCCCTGGAGAACTGTTTGGGCTGAGATCCCAGACTGCTGCTTTGACCTCTGCCATGGTGGGTAGGGCAGTGACGAGAAGGTTTTCATTTGGGTTGAGGGTGTGGGGGATGTTGTCAAGGATGCCAGGGCAAAGTGTAGTGTCTTCTTGGGTGAATAGGTTGCTAAAAAAGGATATGGCTTCAGTAGCAATTTCCTCCCACTCATGGAGCCATCTGTTCTCACTGTTTTTGATTTTTTCAATTCTTTGGAAGTTCTTTTTCTTTTTAACAAATGCTTGAAAGAACTTAGTGTTAAGATCCCCCTCCTTGATCCACTTCAAATTTGATTTTTGCTTCCAATAGGAGTATTCAGTGGCCAAGCATTTGTTTAGTGTTGTTCTCGCTTGTTGCATCCTTATGTTGTTGTCTTCTGAGGGATTATCATTGTACATGTTTTCAGCTTCCTTTAGAGCTTCTTCTTGTCTGGCTCTAGACTGGAAAATGTTCCCAAGGGTATTAATATTCCATGACTGGATGAGCTTCCTCAACTTTCCCAGCTTCTCCATAAGACCCCTCATCCCTCCTCCTCTATAGGGTTCCCAGTTGTTTCTGACCAAGGGGAGGAAAGTGTCATTATTTGTCCAGCAGTTGAGAAATTTGAAAGGGATTGGCCCTTTAAAAACCATTTGTTTTTTGATCTTTAAAAGGATGGGGGAGTGATCAGAGCCTCCTTTGGCTAAGTGGTCAGAGGTTATTAACCAATTAAGCTCTTCCAAATGTGTATTGTATAAAATTCTGTCTAGTCTTCTCCAAATTTTCCCCAGGCTTCTAACCCCTTGCCAAGTGTAGGAAGACCCAGTAAAAGGTGGTTCAATAAGACCAGTTTGGGTGATACAAGTGTCAAACTCCATAATACTAACCATACATGGTGAACTCTTGCCCTTGTGTTGGTTTACAGAGCTGATAACATTAAAGTCACCTCCAAGGATCTAGGGGTCTGTGATACTGTTTGATAGGTTAGAGATGCTGTGCCAAAGATCTCTTCTTTCTTCCTTAGTGTGCCTTCCATATATAGCTGAGATATGCAGACTTGTTCCTAGGTGAGTGTTACTGAAGACAATATGCCCCAGTTGAGAATGGTTGGTATAGTTGTCCAAGCATAGAAAATCAGATTTCTAGAAAGCCCAGATTTGATTATTACAGAGATGGACAGAGGAGTCAAAACCCAGGCTTAGTTGGAATTTATTGATGTTGGTACTAGGACTTTTAGGTTCCGTAACAACAAGAAAGTGTATGTTCAAGTCTTTGATAATAAAACTGAGTCTAGGAAGGTTTGAGGCAATGCCTCTGATGTTCCAGAAAAGTGCATTCATTATTGAAGGATATAAAAAGAATTGTGAGATGAAACCTTTTCCTGAAGCCTTGCAGATCTCCTTTTGATTTCTGATTCCATGGGTATGTTGGTTGATTTATGTGATTTCCTGTTTGCAGGTTTATAATCATTCTTGGAAATGGTTCCTCCATCTGAGTGGTACCCTCTGTTCTCAGGTTGGGGGTTACTCTGATCTGCCTCAAGAAGCTTTCCTTCAATGTTTTCATCTCTCCCTTGAGCCAGGATTTGAAAAAGGGATGAAAACATATCTTGTTGAAAGTTTATTTCAAAGGAATCCTGATCATCAGAGGGGGGCAGGGTGCTGATGGGGTTTGTGAACTGGGGGATGACATGTGGGTCAGGGGGTTTGAGGAAGATGGGTCATCCGGAATAAGTATGGGTGGCTGGTTTTGGGCCGAGTTTTCTTTTGGTGGTAAATTTTTAAGGTTTGGCTGTTTGTTGTTGTTTTGGTTGTGTGAAGGGGCAGAATTTTCTTTTGGTGGTGGATTTTTGAGGTTTGGCTATTTGTTGTTGTTTTGGTTGTGTGAAGGGGCTTGGCATGTGGGTGTGGGTGTTGTTGCTGGGCGTAGGGTCATTGGGAGAAGGTTTTTTGCTGTGGAGTTGTTTGGTTGAAGTGGGCAGTGGGCCCCCATTACCTAGGTCATTTTCAGAAAGGTTGTTTGTTTGGTAGCTGTTTGGGGATGAAATCTTAGCCATTGGAGAAGGAGAGAGCTTGCAGGCAGGTGAGTGCCTATTGATGCCTCTACAAACTTTGCAGAATTCTGGGAGATTTTCAAATTCAGCTTGTAACAACAGAGGGGTATCTCCATTCTTGACATAGAAAGAATTCTGTGGAGGCTTTGATAGGTCCATTTCCACACAGAACCTAGCCACAGAAGGTCTGGAGAAGCTTTCAGTAGTAGAGTCCATTTTTAGAGGTTTACCAAAAATGTTGGCAATCAGGGCTGGTTTGGCATGCAGGTGGATTGGCAAATTATTAATGGAAATCCAAACATGGATGATTGGTGTTACCTTGGAGGGATCAAAATCTGTAGTCCACTTAGTGATACTCATTGTAGCACCTTGGACATTCCAATCCTTGCGTAGGAAAAGCCTTTGATAATCTTTTTCTGATGAGAAGTTGAGCAAGACGTGGGAGGGATGCAGGAGGCCAACAGAGAACCCAACGAAACCAATTTTTTCAAGCCAGCTTCGTATAGTTTGCATTGGTGGCCTTTTCCCAAAGAAACTCCCCACCAGCGCAAATTGAAACCGAGCAGCCAGGGAATGCACTTCCTCATTAGAGAAGGATATGCAAGGGAGACCCCTGAACTTTTCAATCTGTTTGGTGGAAAGTGCAGGTGAGGAGGGGGAGACAGCCTCCTTGAAGCTCTTGGTGACAGGAGGGGCTGCCTGAGGAGTTCCCGGAGCTTTGGACGACGACCCAGAGGTCGCCGGCCTGAAACTGGTGGACATGCACGGTGGTGCTAGAGAGAGCTAGAGAGAGAGAGGATAATATATATATATATATATATATATATATATATATATATATATATATATATAATTTAGATTAGATCAGACTGAATCAGATCAGATCAGACCCAATCAGGCCAGATCAGATCCAATCAAATCATACGCAATCAGATCAGACCCAATCAGATCAAAACTTCAAAAATTTAAATCAAATTCAATCAGATCAGGCGTACGAAACAGAGCCTATATCAGTATCAAGCAATGGTTGAGGGCTATGTCCCACTTCACGCAATTCTTTTTTAGATTGAGAGCATTCTCATAAATTCCAAACTTCTATGTCCTTTCCCATAAATTCTACACATAGACGGCTAGACCGGGAATGAGCGGCTCTTCAAAAATTTCAAAAAAGCATCGTTCCCATCCCCCGCTCCCAAATTTCAGATCCCTCCGACAAGAGAAACTCAGACGCTATCGCCCCGCACAGTGCTCTTAAAATCAACTGTCAAGCAGCACGTATTCAACTTCTGCGAGAATGTCGAGTCGGCATGATAAAGAGAAAGGTGTGAATGTTCAGGTTCTTCTTCGTTGCAGGTATTGCAACTTGCATTCATACACATACACACCCGCTCGTTAGTTTGATATTTCGTTTTTTCCTCTTATTGCTTGAGTAAATCGAATTTGCAACTCCTGATGTGAGGGAGGATGGAAAATTGCTTCGAATTTTTTATTAATATTTGTTTTGTGGGGGTTTTGCAGGCCATTTAGCGAGGATGAGTTGAGGAACAATGCACCGCAGGTGGTGACCTGCAATGACCACCAGAGAGAAGTGTCAGTTTCACAGAACATTGCTGGGAAGCACATCGATAGGGTTTTTATGTTTGACAAGGTAAGATTTCACTGGAAATGAGACCTGTTATCGTTCTACGTTTCAGGGTCAAAGAATTCCCTTTATTTCTATTATTTTGTATGGTCCTGGTTCTGACTCCTTCACACACAGGTTTTTGGTCCATCCGCTCAGCAAAAAGATCTTTACGACCAAGCAATTATTCCTATTGTAAATGAAGTTTTGGAGGGTTTCAACTGCACCATTTTTGCATATGGTCAAACTGGCACAGGGAAAACTTATACAATGGAGGGCGATTGTAAGAAATCTAAGGTAATACTTGGTATTTTAAATTTTAAATCATTATATGATTGGGTAGCTCAAGAAAAAAAATTGTTTGAGCCAAGACTTAAGAAATTAAAGATCAAATTGTTTACAATTTAAATCTAATGCTTTTGTTTCGGCTTCAAATCTTTAATGCCTTTCTTGTGCTTTTGGTCTCTCCATAAAGTCTTTGTCATCACCTTTGAGTTTTTATCACTTCATTCCATATCCACGAGGGTTTGTCAATATAAAAAAATGCCAAGGTAAAAGCATATTTCAACAATTTTTGGCTTTTTGATAATGACAAACCAAGGCGGGGATATGCAAGCAAGGTTGGGTTTAAAAATGAGAGTCATTCTTCCTACGTCTTTTGAAAACATGATTCCCCCTCACTTGTTACATATGCCCAACAACACTTCCCTCTTTTGGCATTAGCAAAAGGCACACACTAAAAAGTACTATTTTATTAAAAGGGAAAGGCGGATTGCTCATCTGTCGCATCAAAGGGCTAATAAGCAGACGTTAAGACAATTGTGGAAGGAAAATAAAAAAAACATGCCAAAGCCTGTCCACACTTGGTGCAATACTTTTGCATGCTCTAATAAAATTTACCAAGTAAAAAGGACAAAAGTTTTGTAGTCCGTGATGACAGGTGTATCACCATATCTGTGAAGTAATAACCTGCCCCCCTCTGAACTTAGAGTAGTACTGTGTATGTACCTGAAAACAATAAATTATGTCTTAATCTTTATCAGGTGTAAGACTGGATTTTAGGATACTTTTTCTTGTTACAATCATTACTATACATCTTACGTGTGAAAAAGAAAAATATTTTTTGGATGCATCCGTCATGTTTTACATTTATCATTAAATATTTATGATGTGCTTTGATTCTAGGCCACAAGTGACTTAAGTGCTCATAAGGGAACAAAAAGATTCACTGTTATTGGCTTTGGGGTGTGATGAGATAAAGAGAAATGGTTCTTTAAACTTTCAGCACTTTTTATAGTGAAGTAGCAAAATGATTCCCCATACCCTGTTGTTGCGGGATTTCCACTGGGTTGTTGTTTGTTGTAGCGGTTAGTCAATGCAACTCTCGACATTCATCATGGGTCATTGGGAAACAGTCGCTTTATGTTTTAGGGGCTGTTTGGCAACTTCTGAATGGGTAAGTGCTGAACCAGTAAGAGGTCTGAACCATTAAGTGCTGAACCAGTAAGAGGTCTGAACCATTAAGAGCTAGTATATTGCTTAACTATTCAGAGGCAAATGTCTGATCAATTCAGATAAGAGGTCTTAACCATTCAGACTCTGTATAATACTTAACCATTCAGAGGC